CCAGTTAGTCTACGAACCTTCATTGCTTTGGGGTGAACATGTTGTCGTAGAAGAAATGGAATCTAAAAAAAACAGGACAATTAAAGTTTTAATAGTTCATGCTATCTGCTATGTATCATGCTATCAAATATTTGTATCATGGTAATAGTTTATTTACACGATGTCACTCAATTATTCATATATTTTTTAATTGATTAAAAAATAATTAAGGGAATTTTTTACCTAGAATAACTAAAGAGGTAATGTAGCTTACCAAGATGTTTGAAAAATTCTGTAACAGTAGTTGTTGCGAGATGTGGAATCGAACTGCTTGGCACGCTAGAAAAATCTGCACTACCGTACCACCTTTCCTTGAGGCCGTTCATGAAACCCTGAACTTGTGTCCTCAACCTATCTCGGCTCACCAATTGCGTGAACTTTAGCTTTCTGCTGCAACTAACGAACGAAGTGTCGTAGAGAACTCCCCCTGTATAGTACATTCTCAACAACTGACCAAGTCGAACTTTTTTGGAAACATAATAAGGGATGTTGTACCCCAGTAGAAACCCATCGATATCACCAAGGAGTTCTGCATTAGTTGCTTCGGAAGTTTGTGATGATGGGGCGTTGAAAGTATGTGGACAGCTTTCATTTGGCGACCACGAGCCTCCGGGACCAAAGAGCAGTCGTGATTGGTCGATCTGTTTATGCAAAGCAGTTTGTCCAAGGTCACCAGAAATAGTCGCAGCATAAAGATTGTCAATAGATACGCCAGCGATAAGAATGCTCTTGCGACTAGCTCCCGCACAAATCCCAGTCATTACGTGACCCATTGCCACGTTTCCGGTCGGGGTTTTGACGACGCCAAGCTCACGTGACCATACGTAGCGGTGTACAACCATGTTATTGAGAACTCTTTCTTCCTCACTGGTTAGTACTCCAGTAGGCAGACTATCTTTAAGAAACAATAATTACCAAAAATCATCAAAACTACTTGCTTACTATATATTAAAAAGTATTAAAGAGAATAAAAAGTGCATGCAGCACTATGGTGTCCTAGGCAGCCGCTATTAGTGTCGTCACGCAACACTCACTCTCCTAAGTAGCAGGAGTGAGCTTCGTGTAACAACATTAACAGAGGCTGATTAGGAACCTAGCAGCACTGTTGTATGAACGAAAAAAGCAAGATGCCTTTACAATCATCCTCATTATCACATGCAAAATCGTACATTTGAAATCCCGACAAAATATGCTTTTGGTGGACGTCAGGAAGTGTTTCCATGACACTGTAAGAAAATACGATTTTTTCGGGCACTTGCATATGTAATATCATGTCATGAAAACGCCTTGATTGACGCCTTCTTCTTTCCGGAAACGATTTCAAATTAAAGTTTTTATCATTAGTGCTTGTTATTTATTGCTAAATATTTATTTATTACTGAACATTTATCTATATTTATTACCATTATTATTCATAATTTACCTGCGTTACCAAGGAGATCCGTCCACATGCTATTATCGTATCCCAGTTTTCTCACATAGTTAGCAATTTCTTTTAAAGACTTATCTTTGGTCTGAGGATGTTGTTCAATCTTTTCAACCAACTCGATAAAGTGATCAAGAGTGTAGATGTCATTAACAATAGAAAGCTGACGCCTRTATCTAGATCTTCCACTATATTTTGACAAGGAAGGAAAAATAAAGCTAAGTATTAAGGAAGTTAAAGGTATGTGTATACAGCTAATTCAAAAAATGTTGCATGCTGCATGCTGCATGTTGCTTTTCTAAAGCTTGAAATATAAAAATAAAAATAAAAAATGAAGTTTTTTTCAAAGATTTTTGAAAATACCTTGCGTGATCAGCTTCACCTTCTCTGCCGCAGACGCTCACAACTAGGTAGAGAAAGATATTTAAAAAAAAATCAAATGACATTTATGTGCAGTTTTTGATATAA